GCTTGTAGGAACTTAACAGAAATGCATCAAAGATAAATGAACTCTTTGTAGATAAATCTGAGGCAGCTAAATAGTGGATTAAACCAAATGTAACTCAAGTAATACAGGTTTTATTCGTACTAGTAACAAGCCACTGTAAGCCTGAGAAGTTTTGACTGATTTTAATGTGTAAAAACACTAATCTCCATAACTCTAATTGAAAAAAATCGTAAAATGTGCTCATTAGTGACTAGTTTCATGAGGAAATTCTTGGAGTTCTAGTGAGAAGACGTGACCAGGGAATTTCAACCCTGTCGGTTGTAAGCAGTAACTATCGAACACAAATGGGTGAGGTCGTGCAAAATATCTAGATTGATCAGAGCTATACACTAACACCGTTGGATGGCAGCCGGCCCAGTGGTCTACAGGTTAGGCGTTCACGCACAAGACCGGAGATCCTAGGTTCCAATCCTGCGAGGTGAAAGAGTCGCGGATGAGCACTGCTGGTGAGTCCCACATCAGGACAAAATTACATTCCAGTGCTTGCAGGTTTCTAATGGTGGTCTAACAATGATTGATGATTTCAATGTGTGAAAATAGTTACTTCATGTAAACGTTTATAAACAGCATAAAAATATATTAAAACATAATAAACAGTCTGTGAGCAGTGTCTATGAAATGTGGATTATTAATAATTTTGAGTTAGAATAGTCAAATGACAAAGATTGTTTTGAACAAAGTGGCTGCACAAAAACTGAAATCTATTGTCCCAAATTAACGCAAAATAAACACGTAGAAGATTAAAAAACAGGAACAACTACGGAAGTACGGACATATTTTATTACTAGGTGGCTTAAGTATTGTCTAAAGATCAATTCTATTGGAGGCTGTAGTCAGTTGTCGAGAAACGCCCAGCGAAGGGGTGTAAGCCCTGCTGCTGCTTCCCGTGGCCTCGTTGGTGTAGATATGGCATTAAGTCCTAAGGCAAAACTAGCTCTCTTAGACCGGATCCCAGTAGAGAGTCGCCTATGCGTTGTCCGACCAAACGGGACAGCAACAACTCTTAAAGATAAGAACACTCGCCGTTGCTACTTCGTTGTCTTCGCTTACGCTCTTAACCTGGCGACCTCCAAAGTCGTCTCAACGTTGGACCCAACTAGATCACATTGCCATCAGCAACCGATGGAGGGGTTCGATAGAGGACTGCCGCTCGCTCTGGGGTACATGTTTAAATTCAGATCATGCCCTAGTGCGAGCGCGTATTTGTTTGCATCTTAATGGATATACGAAAGACACCGCGAGGAAAACCCCTTAGGGTTCTACATAATGATAGCAAAGCTAAGAATATATTTCTGGATCAACTAGAAAAACAGTTAGGCAACCATGTAACTGATACCCTCCCCGGGGAGCTTGTAAAGATATCAAAAAGGCTGTGGAAACAGTAGTGATATCCGCTAGTAAGGTATACCATAAGGTCAGTCAAAAGGAATCGGTCTTAGTAACATCTAATGAACTGATAGATACTCAGAAACACATCCCATCTGACTCTGAACATGACAAAGAGCGGAGTCAGCTCAAACGCAGGCTGATAAGAGGCTAACTCAATGATCGCTAACAGTGGTGGTTAGCGAGAGCAAGGAAGATGGAGAAGGCAGCGGCGATGGGTAACTGTAGACAACTGTTTAGTCTTATCAAGGAAACTGGCATTGGGAATCAGACTGTAAATGAGACTACCTCGGATTGGCTTATTAGTCATTCTCAATCCAGCAAATCGGATCAATGGGCAGAACACTTTAGGGATCAGTTCAACTGGCCTTCAGCCACACTTCAATTACCCACAATCTCCAGTCAACCTGAATGGCTAGTTGATGTAAATCCTCCAACTCATATTCAAGTCGAAAAGGCAAACGCATAAACAAAGCTACATGGGTTTTAACGGACCACAGTACACAGAACTAAATCAATCACATCACACACCATGGAGGACGCAAGGACAAAGAGAGGAGCTGGCAATAGATCTAGATCATCACTTGGTGGTGGCCAAGATGAAACTGAAACTCAAGGAGCACTGGGTAACCGAGCGAACAGCATCATATGACTTCCATACGGCCCTTCTTAGAGATACTGGAAAACTTAGTGAATTCGAGATAGCTCTCAACAACAAGTTCCAGGTATCTCACGATCTGCTCAATGGAGAGGAAACTACCATGGGGAAGAACTGGAAACAGATCAAACAAGGAATAACTTCAACATATCATGAAGTTTTCAGCCACAAGAAGCATCGTCACAAAGAATGGATCCCTACTGGTACTCTGGATAAGATTCAAGGGAGGAAGAACAGGAAGGCAGCAATCATGCTCCAGTACGAGTGCGTTTGTCCGCAGCTTACTGGACGTAAGAAAGACATGGCGAGAAAATGTCTTAGTGTTCTACTCAACGATAAAGAGGTCAGGAGCATACTTTGAGAGCAACTAGAAAGAAATAGATAGCCATCCAAGTGATGCCCATTCTGAGACAGCTTGGAATGACACGCGGAAAGCTACAGAAACAGCAGTGATATTTGCCAGAACGGCAAACCAAAAGGTCAGGGAGAAGCAAAGGATTTGGGTAGCAAGTACTGAACAGATAGATGTTCGGAAACTCATCCGATTGGGCTCAATCAATAACTGCTAGTAGATGAAGTCTACCATGTTAGGGTGGGCGAGACAAAACTAATCGGTGTTTAGTGACCTTGGATGACATGGCTAAAAATCGTTTGCAGTGGCATAGATGCAACCATTCGTTTTCTCCTCTCAAATTCTTAATCTTCTGATTTCAAGACCTTTTTTAACATTTATTTCACTGGATTATACTCCTTGAATAATATCTTCGAACCGTAATCTTCTCCATTACTCCTAATACTTCTACTGCTATGGGATTTGAATTGACAACTCCATCTCTCTGTGCTAATGTGGTACGGCAACTTGGACTGGTGCGCGTGCGTACGTCCGTACCCAGTTCTACGTTGGTAACTGACTGGAACAATAGGAGAATGTGAGTGATGAGTACTTTCAAATAACAATAGAACGCTTAGTATCGGAAACGGCTTTGCATACGTGAAAGCTTTGATGAAAAACATCTAACAGAAGTTTTTCATCTACTTCCTTGTTACGAATCTACTATACATGGAAAGATGCCATTAAAATCACTTTAACGGTAAATCCCTAAGAGTCTATCACTTATAAGAAACCATAAAATCACTAAAGGAATAAACCATATGAGATAAATAACAGCACACAATTTGGCAGGTCAGTCAGTTACAACGTAGAACTTCGTACGCATGTACATAAGTTCAGGTTGCCATACCACATTAGCACAGAGATGCAATTCTCAGTTCAAATCCCAGTGGTAGAAATAGTAGAAGTATTAACGGTAATAGAGATTGGGGTTCGAAGAAATTATTCAAGTATAATTCAGTGACAAATTTAGAAAGAGAAGGCTGATGAGGAATTTAGACGATTAGAACTTTATAAAGCACAAAGAGTGGATGTGCCTGCGCCATCGCAAGCATTCTTGAGCCATGCCGTCCCAAGGTTTCTAACCACCAGTTATTTTCGTCTTTCAGACTCCAACCAGGTAGTCTACACCTACCAACAGACTCAATCCACTTATCAGTGACTTCATGAATCTGTGACATGCTTTGGTTCGGTCCCCCCTAACCTTCTTCCAACCTGCTCCTATGCCACAAAACATCGCTCGTCGAGGTAGTCGGTGGTCGAGCATTCGTGACACATGTCCCAACCACCTCAACTGATCAAGTTTCAGCACTTCATCTATTGAATTGCCATCCCTACCTAGTACTCGTTTCCCAACGACAGGATTGCTTACTCGGTTGTTCCAGGATACACGAGTAATGCTTCGAAGATATCTATAATCGAATACTAATAACCCACGAATATCCTCAACTCTTAACGGCTATGTTTCGCATTCATATAGTAGGACGGAGAGAACTGCTGCTCAGTGGACCCGTTCTTTGATTAGCAAAAGGATATCTCGCCTACGCCATAAGTGACGCAAGTTGGCAAAAGCCAATCGAGCCTTTTGTATATGCCCTGAGATCTCGTCAGACATCAGGCCATCAGCACTGATGAGACTCTCAAGATAATTGAAGCAGTCAACACGCTCAACCGCTCCGCTCCCTAACACTAGTTTAGGTGCTGACGCAAGCTAATTTTGGAGCAACATTTAGCATTTCGAGGGGTAGATCGCATCCCGTTGAACCTTATCACCTAAATTGGGGTTTGATTATGTTGTTTGTTACATCTAAACAGGAACAAAACTTCAGTGATTATTAGCGGATCTTAATATTTTTGCTCACTCAAACTTTACGCAATTATTTGTGACAAACAACTATTATGAGCTTTCAATGTGTGACATTTTTTGTAATCGCAGGTAAGGCGGTCCAACCGATATATTCCAACTCGGTAGCGAGGATTCACACCAACACTGTTGAATCCCTTACGCAGGTTCATATCGAGCAGAAACTGATTACATGAGCTTACATTTATTAGCCTACAACTCAGACGATAGAATTTCGAGCTTCTATCTAACAATCATAACTACCGTTCAGTTAAATTACACATGCCCCTGAAATGTAGGAGTGCATTAGCTGCTACTCATAGCACCAGCATATTATTTTAAATTAATTATAAAGCAGGATGAGCGCGACTTATCCTAAAGCAGAGCATGATTGAGCCAAATCCTACTTTTCTAACAACAAAAAACACACGCTACAATTAGAAACTTTATACGTGATTTGATAACGCTTTATTTGATAGCTATTCCGAGGGCGAATAGATTATTGCAAATCTTTACGAAATTCCCAAAGAGCTGCCAAAGTTTATTTCCTGAAAAACTTTCATAAAATACACTGACCCAACAACTTGAAGACGAGCTCTCGTATGTTTTCTTATGACCATCACAAGCCGTAGGATAGATTGCTGTTCAAGAATAACACGAGCATTCTATGGGCGAAATGAAAAAGGTCGAAAACAAATACCTGAGCACCCTGTGACTATGTTAGTCATGCACTAGTGTCAAAAGTTAAGTAAGATGGAATTAATCCGCACCAATAATCAAAGCTGAAGCAAAAAACCTTGCCACTCACCCTCTCGTGAATTTTGTTCTTCGATTTTGCGGGTACTTCCACAATGCGTAACTTTCTCAGCAGGCATGACGTAAATATCCAGAGGGAGAATAGTCACCAGCCCGCTTAACTGTAAGCTTGTGTGCAGCTCAGTCGTTGATCGATTATAACAACTACAAAGTCGAAATATTAGTTACTCAGTTAAAAACAAATAAACTGAAACATTTTAATTTTTGGTGGGGAATTTCGATTTAAGCCTCGGTTCAAATTTTTCACAGCATGTATCTTCTGCCAGAACCATTGTAACGTATAGATAAAGGCTGTGATAAGAATAGAAGAAACTTTCACCTAGCAGCCTTCCATATCTAGTAGCAGTGGATCACCGATATCCTCAATTAGGAACCTAAACAAATTCAACAATAGAAAGAACAATACCAGCAAATTACGATGAATACTATTCTGGACCTTTATGAATACGTCTAGTTTCCTCATAATAGCGTGAGCAGGATAACACTAAAGACGAATCTTCGACACTACATAGTACCTGAGAAGGTAGCCAACATCATGAGGAACTCCTACGATGGGCTAGGCCACAAGATCATGCATGAAGGGAGGCTCACAGACTCATTCCAAGTGAGGACCGATGTCAGACAAGCATGTTTACTCTCACCTCTCATTTTTCTTTTGGTGGTTTATTGGATGATGAAGACGTCGATATTTGAGGGGAACCATAGGGTACAGTGGACGGCTCAGTCGCATATAGACCACTTGGGCTTTGTAGATGACTCGGCTCTTCTATTTCAAACGCACCAACAAACGCAGATGAAGACGGCTAGTGTAGCGACAGCAGCCTCTGCTGCAGTAGATATTAACATATACAAGAGAAAAACAAGATCCCTACAATCAACACAGCTGGTGCCAACGAAATCGCACTTCACAGAGAATCTGTGCGTGACATAGAGACTTCGGCACAACTAGGTATCATCACTAATAAACAAGGTGGATCTGATGCATATGTGAACATTCGGATTAGCAATGCAACGTTTCTACAATTGAAGGATATTTGCAACTCGAAACAACTGTCAACCAACACCGAAGTCACAATTTTTAATACAAACGTCAAGGCAGTTCAATTGTGTGGAGCGGAAACTTAGAGAACTACAAAAGATATCATCGTAATACGAATATTTATTCTGACATAACAATGTGTTACAAGAGGCATGACAGTTTACAGGCCAGATAAAATTATTACAATTGCTACCATATTTAATTTAAAAGTTACCGAAGTTAGATTAGAAATAAGAGTCTGTTTCTGATAGCGAAGTTACACCATGTCACTGACAGGAACAGTTTGGTTCAGCCACATTTTCAATAAGTGAGTACAAATAGGGAAGGTAAGCAGTGGAGTTTTTGGGTGTTCGCATAATTCAGGAGTGAATTTGTTTAGAAGTATTAATTGTAAAACGCTTGATATAATCTGTCACATACACGTGCGCGTACAGGTTCACTTTGCGTGCAGGCACCGTGGATGTTTCACTGCGAATAGGATTTTCAGAAGGGACAAAAGGGTTAGAAAAGTAAAAAGAGAGCAACGAGGCAATTGTATATATTTAACCAGAGCATTGCTTTACCTTGCATGCTGACTACTAAAATTTAAGTACATTATAGTAATATAGCTCACAAATTAAGGAGCACGGTAGTGAATAAGGAAGGGTTGTGGAGTATGTTAAGTGAATAGAAGTTGAAGTAAAAAGCTGGATAACTGCACATTGACCCGAAAGTTCAGTTCTTAGAGTATATTTTCATTGATAAAAACGATATAATACTACCAAACGCCTAGTTAGTCTAACCTCTTTAATACGTCAACAAGTTATTAGGCTTCCAAAATTAAACCGTAGATCTCCCAATATTCAAGATACGCACACCACAATTACCTCCCAAAACTTCACCCTTTGTCACCTCAAATCTCTAAGGGTAAGCCTTCTTTCTTCCTCATTTCGTACAAAGTGCTAGAATGCCAATTAGTGCAATGAATACTGTTAATACTATCCTGCTTGAGCATCCGCCTGATGTTTCTATACACAATTTCAGCCGGAATAACTTTTCCAAATCTCTGACCTCTCTTTCGAAAAAATTACCTCATCCTTTTTTAACTCTCACCTCCTCAAAAGGGCAATTTTACTATCTCCATTTGTTGAGGGCGATATTCCAACCTCTTTCAAGTAATCCCCTACATCCTGGAGTGTAATGGATGACAATCAGTCTTCGCCTCACCATCAATCTATCAAGCAATAGCAACGTAGAACTTCGTACGTACGTACGTACATCAGTTCAAGTTGCCATACCACGATAGCACGGAGATGCAATTGTCAATTCAAATCCAGTAGTAGTAGAGATGGTAACGGTATTAGCAGTAATCGGAGATGTTAGGATTAAAAGATATTATTCAAGACGTAGAAGCCAGTGAAATAGACCTAAAAAGATGAAGGGTCTTCGCCCCTAGCAACTCCTTCTAGTCGCAATACTTTTACGTCTGGTCCTTCTGACTCACCACCTTATACGTCTTCCACCGACTTGGACTACCTCACTCCGGTGGGTCTTCGAAACGATCCATCCTTATCCCCTTGGGTGACTTACGCATCTCTTTTTCAGGGATCGTCGGTTAACTGTGAACAACGATATCCACCATATTCTACCTCCCATGCTTCTCTGACCACATCAGTCTCTGAATCCACTCTCCAACCGACTATATTGATCTCAAACCAACCGAGAATACTTATAAAGCCTATGTTCCTTCTTCCTCCTATTCTTCACTTCACATCGCAGATAGCCCACCCAGTGCCCATCGTGCCTCCCTAAAAAATAAGTACTCACCCCGTGTAACACTAATATCAAATAATTCCCGATCTGTAATGTATGCGATTAAACAACACGTTACTTGTCTTGGTTACCGAAGGTTGGTTGTCCTCCTATATTCTAAACTCATACCTTCTCATAAACTCCTATGAACTCTTTCGCCGTGACAGGGGCTCAAAAAAGGGAGTGGTCGTCTCATCTATGTATCTAAAAACATCGAAGCAGACACGTTTAGTAAGACCATACTTAATAAGGTGCCTGATTCGATTTAGCTCATTGTGCACTCGCGCGAATGTAAAATACCGATTGGATGCAAATATCTAGCCCGAAACACTTATCGATCGATTGACATTGCTATGGTGTGAGTCATTTTCCAAGACTGCCCCTCTTAAATTCGCCTGCAAAATTATTTGTGGTGACTTCAACCTTCCTGGAATCAACTGGCAGACGCATTCAGGTCCATTATGCTTTGAAAGCATGCTTAGTCCCTGAGACACACATGGTTGGCAACAACATATACACTTGCGTACAAGAAACAAAAATATTCTTGTCATAGTATTTTGTTATGATGTCACAACATCTGTGGCGGTCTGCGAAAATTTTCACAACAGCGACCATAAAATAGTCTTCTGCATCCTACGGATTCTTGCAAAATGTGACCAATCCAAAACAGCAACGCATTTGCAATGCAGAGACTATGAACACACTGACTCTGAGAGCTTCCAGTTTTTAATTCAGCACCATGACTAGACTACGTTTTTAACTAGCCTTGAACTATGACTCCTTATATCATCCATAAAACCAGGTCTAAGCCACACAAACTAAACCGGGCAAATTGCATATCTAAGTACTTCAGCATCGTGTACAAAATCTACTCTGTACTTCAGGGTGTGAAAAATTAACATGAAGCGCGTAAAAACACGGGGGAACATAGTGCACGCGCTACTGCATTTAAATCCCAAAACTTCTGTCGTCCTCTCAAGAGACGCATAAATAAGAATACGTCATAAAATTTATTTGATGCTGCATGACGGAGAGACTTATAATAACCAAACTGTCATTTGTAAACTGTTTAGAACACGGTTCTCCCTCAATAATATTATATCTATTACCTCAGACATTAATCTTAACTATATCAGAAAGAGTAATCACAATATCATCAACTTTGTCCTTAGCAATATTCAAGCCGCCATTAAAACCCTCAAACCAAATCCAAGTTCTGGTGCTGATGAAATACAATCCATACACTTTAACATGGCAGTATCATATATTCTGGTACTTTTGCTTAAAATATATGTATTACCTGTGTTAGTTATTTCCATAACTAATTGTAGTCATGTCATAATTAACCAATCAAATTGTGGTTTAAGCGCCCGCCACGTGATCTGATCTGATGTGTCAGTAAATCTTCTTTGTTGTAAATGACCTACAAATTGATTGACATTATTATCTTGTTATATTGATGTGAATCATAAATTTACTCATTTCCAAAAGACACGCTATATTGGTCCGTACGTTTGCTCGTTTGTAATTTCCTTATTTATTGTACTAATGTAATTGATTTTATGTTTAGAAACAGATAAATTTCAAAGCAAAAGTTGGTCTTCCTCTGACTATAGCTTTCCCATAGAATCTGTGCTCGCCAATATTGCGTTCACCATTCAAGAATTACATCTGCAGGGCAAATTAAGTCCTACAACCTGTAGAGGCTGGTGTATATCCCAAAGCTCGGAAATTCACTCAGGGCCAAAAAACTTGATCCAAAACTACAGACCAGTTGATATCAGACCAAGTTATCTTGCGGGTGATGGAGAAAGTGTTAAATGATCAACTACTGGATCACTTATCTAGGGAAGGTTTCATCGACCCCCTCACAATATGGCTTCATTGGAACTAGGTCATATCTGGTAGATTTGTTATATGAAGTTACAGCCATATGCGACCAAGAAGCTTTCGTCAAGGTACCTCATAATCTCTTAATCAACAGACTCTAGTCCATCGCCGTTACTGGCTATCTATTATTATTATTATTATTATTATTATTATTATTATTACAATGGATTAGGTCTTTTCTCGAGAATAGATACCAAATTACCAAAATTAACTCTACTACATCTATACCTCAACCAATTACCAGTGGTGTTGTTCAGGGCGGTGTCTTGGGTCCACTGCTTTTCATGATCTGCAGCAACAACATATGCAGTGGTTTCAACACCAATAAAACCTACCTCTATGCTGATGACCTAAAAGTGATCGATAAAACTAACAAATCTGACAGGTAATTCGAT